TGTGCCATCATTGCCCAGGTTTTTATTATTGTCATTACATTTTATTTATGTATTAGGGAGCACCATGTATATCCTAGGATGGAGTTCAGGTCAGCAGACTTGGTAGCAAGCACCTCCACCCACTGAGCCAATTGCTGGCCCCTCTCTTCAGTTTTGAAACAGTCCTATAACTCAGGCTCACTTCTAACTCAGTATGATCTTGGACTTCCAATCCTCCTGTAGGGATGGAAGGCATGTGCCAACACCTAGGTTGTGTGATGCTGGGAATCAGACACAGTACTCCCTGCACAACAGGGAGCTGAGCTACATCTGCAGTCCTTTCGGCCCCTAAAATTAGGAGGACAGTAGGCTGGGAGTGGTGGTGCGTGCCTTTATTTACAGCAGGTCTATAGTCCTAGCTACTTGGGAGGCAGAGGTAAGAGGATCTCTGTGAGTTCAAGGCCATCCTGGTATATAAAGAGAGTTCCAGGTTAGTTGGTGTAGTTTGACTTTCTTGTCAAACTTTATTTTGGGCCACCAGCCCCCAAATAATGACACTGAAACCTATTATTAATTATAGAAGCTTGGCCTTAGCTTAGGCTTATCCCACAGCTCTTACAACTTAAATTAACTAGTCTCTATTAATCTATATTCCACCACGTGGCTTTTTACCTCTCCTCCATTCTGTACATTCAGCTTCCTCAGTGTCTCACTGGCGTCTCCTGTGCACATCTAGATTCCAAGCCTCAGTCCTTCTTTTTGCCCAGAAGTCCCACCTAACTTCTCCTGCCTAGCTATTGGCCATACAGCTTTTTATTAAACCAATCATGGCGACACATCTTCACACAGTGGAAACAAGTATCCCACAACAAGCCAGGGATCCATAGTGGTACTCTGCTGAGGGATCTGTTGTGCTGGGGTGTAACTCGGTGACAGAGGGCTTGCTGCCTAAGCTCCTGGGTTCGAGCCCACCATGGGGGGTAAAAAAAAGAATGAAGTGCAGTTCCTAGGAACATATTTCAAGTTACTGATAAAGCTTCAGCCCCAACCCCAGGGACTGCCTTCACAGCCCTGCAGGTGACTGCTGTGCATCCAGAGTATTACTCACGGCCAGAGAGAGGGCTCCACCACAGGAAGAGCATTTGCTTCCCCTCCCTGAAGACTTGAGCTTGCTTCCCAGGACCCACGTCAGGTGGCCCACAACCCTGTGTAACTTCAGCTCTGGCTGTTCCATGGGCACACATGTGATACCCACAGATAGACAAACACATAAAATAAAAACAAAGTTAAATCTTAAAAAAAAAAAAAGAATATGGCCTAAGTGACTAAAACAAGGACACTTCAAAATGTGCATTAAATAGTTAACTCCCTTCCAGGACAGCCAGAGCTGCTACACAGAGAAATCCTGTCTCAAAAAACCAAACCAAACAAAACCAAAAGCTAACTCCTAGAATAAAATGCAGTGTTGAATGACTCAGCAGTGTGGACAGCCAGGGACCCAGGCTCTCTATGTGGAGACTCAGTTCTAGAAGATGTAGTTTTGCTGTGTAATCCAAGCTAGTCCTAAACTCTGAGGATCAAATGATCCTCCTGCCTCAGCCTCCCAAGCAGTTGGGACTACAGATCTGTGTCTTTGTGCCAAGTATTTATATGTTGGCTTATGTTTGTTTGCTTGCTTTTTGACGGGAAGGGAGTGGACAGGGCCTCAGACTGTAGCTCAGGTTGGCTGGAACTCAGTACATAGCCTAGGGTGTCCTCAAACACCAGGCAATCTTTCTGCCCCAAACTCCTGAATGCTAGGGTTATGAATGGATAATAGTACCATCAACACCCTTTCATAACGCATAGAAAGCATTATTTATGCATAGCTGTTGAAGGTGATAATAATTACCATAACCTCAACACTTTCCCAGGAACCCTAAGGAGTCCTCCTGCCCCTGCTCAGCCCTGCAAGGAGACTATACGAGCATTGGCCACGAGGGGGCGCGTCTAGCTTTAGCTGCACCGGCACGTGGCGGCACTCAGGCGGCGCAGCGGCGCATGTCACGTGGGCTCAGCGACAAACTGGATTATTTCTTTGGACATTCCAGAGGAGAACGCATTGATCCTGATCAGCGCCAAAACCCCCAGAGCCAGGGCTGAGGAACTAATGTGGGGGATGTAGGAATGAAATGAGAGAAATTCAAACTAGATTTTTTTTTTTTTTTAATCCGTGTTTTTGCGTATGTCTGTACGTATGTCTGTGAGGGTGCTGGATCCTGGAGTTACAGACAGTTGTGAGCGGCCATGTGGGTGCTGGGAATTGAACCCCAGTCCTCTGGAAGAGCAGTCAGTGCTCTGAACCACTGAGCCATCTCTCCAGCCCCCAAACTAGTTTCTTTGCTGAGCCCCCAGGCACAGCACGGGGTGAGAGGGTGTGTGACTGAAAGTCAATCACAGAGCCTTCCAGCCCTGTTGTGCTCGGCATCCCCTCCTGCCACACCTGCAGAGCAAAGTGGTTGAGGTGGGGGGATGACAGGAATATTTGTGAATTGTCTACACCTACAATGGATTTTTTTTCCAAAATACTTTTTTTTTTTTTTTTTTGGTTTTTCGAGACAGGGTTTCTCTGTGTAGCTTTGCGCCTTTCCTGGTACTCGCTTTGGAGACCAGGCTGGCCTCGAACTCAGAGATCCACCTGGCTCTGCCTCCCGAGTGCTGGGATTAAAGGCGTGCGCCACCACCGCCCGGCCTCCAAAATACTTTTCAAACAATATATTTTCATCCTATTTTCCCTTCCTCCAACTCCTCCCAGATCTTCCCCACCTCTGCCCACCCGACTTCATCTTTTCTCTCTCTCCCTCCCTCCCTCTTTTTCTGTCTCAAAAACAAAACAAAACAAATAAAAACCAGTAAGACAAAAGATACCAAAATGAAACAAAAAGCTTCATGAAAGAAACCCGGAATCTCTTATGTGTTGGCCAAGTACTCCTGGGCATGGATTAAAAAACAAATAACAACAACATTGTGTGTGTGTGTGTGTGTGTGTGTGTGTGTGTGTGTGTGTGTGTGTGTGAGAGAGAGAGAGAGAGAGAGAGAGAGAGAGTTCTCTGCTATCATTCCCGGATCCTGGAGATGGAAGTAGAGTCTTCAGGCATGGTGGCAAGTGCCTTTACATTTTCTTTTTCCTTCCTTCCTTCCTTCCTTCCTTCCTTCCTTCCTTCCTTCCTTCCTTCCTTCCTTCTTTCCTCCCTCCCTCCCTCCCTTTCTCTCTCCCTCCCTTCTCCCTCCTTTCTTTCTCTTCTGGTTTTGATTTTGGAGACAGGGTTTCTCATTGTAGCTTGGTTGTCCTGGAACTCGCTCTGTAGACCAGGCTGGCCTCGAACTCACAGAGATCCACTTGCCTCTGCCTCCCGAGTGCTGGGATTAAAGGTGTGCGCTACCTCTGCCCTGCTGACATTTTGTTTGTTTGCTTTTCTTCTTTGACTACCCAGAGCTTTCCGTAGACCCCCAAAAGGGATCTCAAATCCCAAAAGTCAAGCCTCTGTCTCCCCACCTCCCTCTTCCCATACCCAAAATGTCACCAGCATTGCCCAACACAGAATTTGATGACATTCCAAAAGAGGGGCATCTAAAAGTGATCTGCCACTCTAGCCTCTAGGCTTCTGCAGACCTGCTGTCTCACTCAGGAGCACTGGCTTCCACTTTATCTTGTCCATTTCCCCAAGTCATTGAGGTCTCAGCCCTTCAGGAACCCAGCCCAGCAGCCTGCCATCAGTGCTGGACAAACGTTTGTCTGGGATCTCAACTCACTTCCAGATTCTATGGAAAATATTTATGGGTTCGATGAATGAGGTTAGTGTTTGGGTTGGCTCCTCTGCTCTCAGCTGGGGGCGGGGGAGTAACTTCCTGATCCACTTTGGACAGGTTATTTTCTTTTTTTAACCCCCTCTTGGTAGAACTGAGGGGGAAACTTAGAGCCTTCTGCAGCTAGGCAGGGGCTCTACCACTGAGCCACACCCCAGCCTCTCATTGGGGGATTCTAGGCAGGGGCTCCACCACTGAGCCACACCCCCAGCCCCTCACTGGGGGGTTCTAGGCAGGGGCTCTACCACTGAGCCCTAGCCCCAGCCCCTCACTGGAGGATTCTAGGCAGGGGCTATACCACTGAGCCACACCCCAGCCCCTCACTGGAGGATTCTAAGCAGGGGCTCTACCACTGAGCCACACCCCAGCCCCTCACTGGGGGATTCTAGGCAGGGGCTCTACCACTGAGCCACACCCCCAGCCCCTCACTGGAGGATTCTAGGCAGGGGCTGAGTCACTCCCCAGCCTTTCATTGCTGGATTCTCAGCAAGTACTCAACCACTGGGCCATTCCCCAAGCCCCTCACTATTTTTAAATTTTGTTTTTTCAGCTTCTTTGGATTATAATTCAGTAGTAACGTGTGTGCTGCTGGCCCCACTGTAGACATATGGAGTCTTGAGCCCCTGTGTACTGACACCTCTCCTCACCTGTGATAGTTGGTGTTCATGGTTCTGGATCCTTAAGGGAACAGAGCACAGCCTCTTCCTCTTCCGTGCTGGGAAGGTTGGGTCAACAACAAAACCTAAGCTGGGCATGGTGGTGCACATCTGTAATCATAGACCCTGGGAGGCTGAGGACAGGAGGGTCAGGAGTTCAAGTTCAGGTTAGGCTACATAACAACCTGTTTTGTTGGTTTTTTTTTTTCCCTTAGAAGAAAAAAACAAACAAACAAAAATAACAAAAACCCCCAGTTCTAAAGATTGGAAAGAAAATGATAGAGGCAAAAAGAGATGAAAAGACAGAAAGATGGGAATTTCCCAGAGAAAAGAAGACGGGTAAGAGAGAGAGAAACTGAGATCGGAGGGCCAGGAGGGCCAAAGCCAGACGCAGTGAGAGTCACGGAAAGTCAGAGTCAGTCTTGGCTCAGGAACGGTGCATTCGTGGGTGACTGAGTGACTCAGCGAACTGTGGAGCCAGCTTTTGAGAAAAGGAAAAGGGCAGGCAGAGGCCGAAAGTACAAAATAGGTGTTTTAATTGAAAATTTTATAAAAGGGCAAGGAATATGACGGAGGACCCAGGACTGGACCATGCCAGGCCCAAGGCGCCGGTGGGAGGGGCTGGGAATGACCGGAGCAGTGAAAGGCATCCCTCTGTGTCTGTCCATCCTAAATCCAGACTGGCTGACATCCTTGCTCACTTGCAGACTAGAGGAAGGCAGGCGTGCTCTGGAAGCTCCCAGTGCACAGGCGTAACGGGATGCCAGGCACAGGTGCTCAGGCCCGGGGGTCGCGCAGGCGCACAGTGATGTGGTTGGTGCGTGGGTGCAAATCCTGGGCGGCAGACGCATCGGAAGGAGCCATCGGTATTGACGCAGCGTGCATTGACGCAGAGTGGGGAGGTTGCCTCAGCCTCATCACACTCGTTGATGTCTGGGGGAAGGGTTAAAAAGATCGTTGCTCGAGCCTGGGAATGAGAAGCCCATCTCCCTGGTCTTTTGAGGGAGAGAATCATAGATGTCGAGCCTCGCCTAGGGAACACAAACGATCACTTGCTACCTGCAGGCTGTGTGAGCCCAGGCAGGTGGTATAATATCTCTGTGTTTGGCCCTGCGAGATGGGTCAGTGGGATAAAGCGCTTTCTGTGCCAGTCAGAGGACCTGAGTTTGAGCCTCAGAACCCAAGGAAAGGTGGAAGGGGAGACCTGATGCCACAGAGTTGCATCCTGGCTCCCACACGTGTGGTACAGCATGCACACAAACAGTAATAAAGAAAAGCTGGAAACGAAAACACTGCTATTGACAATACCTACATGTCAGACATCCTCGTGAGCACGGAACCTGTATTAACGCTATCTTCCTCATAACCCTTGGAAGTAGTTACTGTGTTCCTGTGCTATACAGGCGCTAACTGTGGCCCAGCACAGGAAAGCTTGCTCAGCGTCACACTGTAAGCGGCACATGGTACGGATCTCATTCTCAGGCCAGCTCTCCCACTCTTTAGCCTTGCCCACTGCTGCTTCTTGACTGTGAGACCTTGGGGAACTCAGTTCACTTTTCCGAGCATCTTTAATTTTTTTTTAATGCGTTTTTTATTTTATGAGTGTGTGTTCCACCCATGTGCAGTGCCCGCAGAGGCCAGAAGGGGGGCGTTGGACCCCCTGGAACTGGAATTACAGGTGGTAGTGAGAGTCTGATGTGGGTTTTGGGAACCAAACTCTGGTCATCTGAAGAACACCGAGCCATCTCTGCAGCCCTGATCCCCAGTGTATACACAGGTCAGGGTGTCCTGTAAACCAATGTCACTGACATTCTCAAGAACTCTGTGAAATGGGCTCTTTCACTATGCCTGTTTTCTGTGGGGTTTTGTTTTGTTTTTCCAGGTGAGGAAAGCTGAACAATGCACAGTGACCTGTCTCAGGACTGAGACTGGGGTCTCTCTGACCCCCCTCACAGCTCCTGATTGTAAGCCTTTATCCCTTGTATAGGCAGACATGATTACTACTCCAATTCCATGTGGGAAGGCTGAGGTTTGCAAAGAGAATGAGAAGATTGCCCAAGGTAGCACTGACCGTCCTCCGAGTCTCATCCACAGGGGCTAGGGGTGTGGCTCAGTGAACCAGCACTTGCCTAGACTCCACCAGTCTAAGAGGGCCTGGCTCCGTGGGAGAGCCCCTGCTTTAGAATCCCCCAGTGAGGGGCTGGGGTGTGGTTCAGTGGTAGAGCACCTGCCTAGAATCCCCCAGTGAGGGGCTGGGGTGTGGCTCAGTGGTAGAGCCCCTGCCTAGAACCCCCCAGTGAGGGGCTGGGGGTGTGACTCAGTGGTAGAGCCCCTGCCTAGAACCCCCCAGTGAGGGGCTGGAGGTGTGGCTCAGTGGTAGAGCCCCTGCCTAGAACCCCCCAGTGAGGGGCTGGGGCTCAGTGGTAAAGCACCTGCCTAGCATGCATGCATCAAGCCCTGGGTTCCATCCCCAGAACAACAATATATATTCCGCAATATTCTTTTCATATTTCCAAGCCCAGCTCTGCCATGTACAGGAGTCTGGCTTTCCTGGTACTCTGACCTCATCTTCTTCAGTCAAGCCCCACCCTGAGCAAGAATAAATTTCCGCCCCCTAGGATGGTCTGGCCCCTATCTATAATGAGGTCCTTTCTTGGAGGTTCCTAATCACCCTCTGGTCAAGCTTGCTTTTACCCTTCCCTCTGCTCCCCTTTCTCACCGACACAGGACATGCGGGTGATGTCCAGGCGGTAGCCATCGAAACAGTCACAGGTAAAGCCTTCGGGAACGCGCACACAGCGGCCATGGGCACAGCCGTCCAGGATCCCGCACTCCTCAGCCTCCAGGCCTTCATAGGGCTCAGCCAAGGCTCCTGCAGAGAACACAGGGGGCTGTGACTGGGGATCTCAGCCTTTGGTCCCTTTGCCCCTGCCTTCCCACTCTCTCTTCCTAACCTGTCCTTCCCACTCCCAGACTGCAGGGGGCGCAGCACTAAGAACGTTTACCATGCTCAGTTCCCCTAGGTGTTGCTATCCATCCTAGGATGGCCTCAAAATGCAGCAATCCTCCTGCCTCAGCCTCTCTAGTGCTGGTATTACAGGCATGAGTCTTTCCATGCCTTTGTATGTTTCTGACCCTGACTCTCCTGCCTTCTCTCGGCATTGCCCCCACCTTGTGTTTTTTGTCTGTCTGCTTGGTATCTCTGGCGGCACTGCTCACCTGTATAGCCTCCACGCTCAGAGGACTCCTCAGGCTCTGGGAAGGAACCACGGGTGTCTCTGGACCGATATGGCCAGCCAGTGCCTCGGCTGGGTGGAGCAGGAGCCTCCGACTCACCATAGGGGCCACCATCATCCTCGAAGTCCGGCATGTCGAAGGGTGGGGTGCCATAAGGGGCCTCCCGGCGGGCAAAGGGTCCAGGAGGGGGTGGGTAAGGGTCATAGGGTAGTACAGGTGGTGGATACAGGTCTGGCCCGTAAGGGAGACTCTGGTAAGGTGGGCCTATATCTGGGCCATATTCGTAGGGGAGTCCAAAGCCGCCTGGACGCGGTGGGCCATACGCAGGGGGGCGCAGCACATTGCAAAGCGCCTCGAAATCATCTGTGAACAGGAGCCAAGACATACCACGCTTAACACCCACTGCTCATGACGAGAAGCACAGGAAGGCTTGGGGAAAGGCTGGGGAGGGGACTTCACTGGAAAGGCAGGATCAGGGCTTTGGATGGCTCCAGGATGAGTCGAGATTCTGACTCCTGGGATCTAGCGTCCTCAGACTGCAGCTAAAAATCAGAGTCTAAGGTGTTGGGATTTGGGGGACCCATGGGAGCTAGGGCTAGGAACCTGAAGAAATGAGAGGAAGGTGTTGATAAGAATCAACGGGCTGGCTGAACACCGGGACTTATGGGGCCAAAGGGGCCTGGAGGGAGCTTGACTCTCTGGGATCTGGAGGAATCAAGCCTGGGGTTTGGGGCTCATGATTTTAAGGAGCTAGTAAGAGGAGACCAGAGATCTTTGGGGCTATGTTGGAATCTTGATAACCTGGTGTGGGGGTGGGGGTGGGGGTGGGGGCGGGGAGCAATGAGTGTTAGCAGCTGTTAGTGCTATGGGCGGAGTCTGAAGGGCAGGGTGGTGTCAGTGGGCAACTGCTACTGGGATTGAAGGGTCCAGGGGTATCTGGAGGGGTGTGTCACAGGTTGTGTCGGGGGAGAGGGGTGTCTAGAAACTGAAACTTTTGGATGAGAGAGCTCAGAGCTGATGGGGCTGGACCTATGGGAAGAGCTGCTGCTTCAGGCCTTGAGATTTCTGCTGAGGACACTTAGACATTTTTAGGATTGTGACCAAGATTTCAGGATAGGATGGGATGCGTGTAAAGAGGCCAAGAGGTCCTTTGGGGGCAGTCTAGAGAGATACAGTACCTGAGTCCTGGGCAGGGCAGAGCGCACAGTCCATACCCCAGGCTTCGCCGTAGAGGCAGCAGCACTCTGTGTAGGTGGCCTGGCGGTCTAGTCGTGGGCGACTGCAAACAAGATCAGGCCCCACCTCCTGCCAGCATACTCCCAGATTGTCATCTGTGGGCGATGACAGGATGCATCAGGGCAGACTGGGACTCGGACCCTCCCTCAGAGACCCAAGTCCAGCCTCCAGAGGGTTCTGTGAAATGGGGGTGGTTGTTTTAATTCCCTGGTGTGTGTGTGTGTGTGTGTGTGTTTGAGATGGTCTCTCTATGTAGCTCAGGCTGGCCCACAACTCTTGTGGTCCTCCTTCAGCCATCTCTTGTGTGGCTCGGATCACAGGTGTGCACCACCACACCCTGCACCCTGAGCATTGTTTAAAGGAAGCCTCAAAGTTTAGGGATTTTTGTAGGAACAGAACATTGGAAAAGAGGTTTTGGGGCCAAGGACCAAGGTAAAGCAGGGGAGACACATGGAGTGTGCGAGAGAAAGAAACTTAAGATAAGGTGGACAGAGGCTGAGAGAGAGAGAGAGTGATGAGCCAGAGAGAGAGAGAGAGAGAGAGAGAGAGAGAGAGAGAGAGAGAGAGAGAGAGCGAGCGATGAGCCAGTGAGCGAGAGGGGGGGGGACCAAAAGAGCAGGTGTAGTAGAGCAGGCCTGTAATCCCAGTAACTGAGGCTGAGGCAAGAGTTCAAGTGAGTTTAGGCTAGCCTGGGCTACATAGTGGGAGTCTGCATGTAAAAAAGGAGAGGAACCTGGGGCCCAAGAAATGTGTGCAAGAAAATGAAGACCGACACTAAAACTTTCACCTTCAACCACCAGGCCAGGTTACCTCAAAAGAGAGGTAAGCCCTGTCCTCTCACACCTGTAATTCCAGCAATCAGAAGGCCGAGGCAGGAGGATTTCTGTGTGTTCCAGGTCAGCCCGTACTACAAAATAATAATGATTAGGGAAAAAAACAAAAAACAAAACAGTGTGGTCCAGAGGCATTGTGGCTCTCGGCTTTAAAAATCCCAGAGCTTTGGAGGCAGAAGTAGGCGGGTATCTAAGAGATCCAGGCCAGGCCGAGCCACATAGTGAAGTGCAGTCTTGAAAAAACAAACAAGCAAGAAGCCACTCTGGGCCCATCCAGGCGCTAGGGGCGTGGCCCTGAAGAAGGCGTGGCCTTTAGCACACGCTGGAGGCTGGGCCTCGGGATCCAGCGGTGGACCTGGGCGGGTCTGTGGGTGGGGTTACCGAGGCTCTGGCTCTCGTTGGAGACGCAGCGGCGCCGGGAGCCGTCCAGCACCAGTGGGGGCTCGCAGGTGCAGTGGTAAGAGCCCACTGTGTTGACGCAGCGGCCGCCTTCACATGCAGGCTCCTCGTCTGCGCATTCGTCATTATCTAGGAAGGCATGGGGTGGGGGATGGGGCGATTACCAGGATGAACTCACTTTCACATTTCCCCAGCTCACTGACAGAGTGATGGATGCAGTCTAGACTTCGGAAGGACTTCCTGCTGGGATAGCCACATTCCTATTTGGGACTGGCCCGGCCAGAGTTGGGGGCGGGGGAAGGTGGGGTTCATACCAACGCATTCCAGCCGCTGTGCATGATAGTAGAAGCCGTTGCTGCAATAGCAAGAGTAGCCTGGGGCGGTGTTCACACACACTCCGCTCTTGCACACCTGGTCCTGGAAGAGCTGGCATTCATCCACATCTGTAGGAAAAGGTGAGATGAGGGCGGGGTGGGTGTGATCTGGGGTAAACACCAGTCAGGACAGAGGAGGACGGCAATGGCACCCAGAAGCTGAGACAAGGAAAACTGGAACCAGAGGGGACCTTGAGGAAGAGGAGACCCTCAAGAGAATCAAAGTGAGAATGGAGCTAGGTGTGTTGAAGCATGCATGTAATCCCAACAGTCAAGAGGTGGAGTTCAGAAGAACAGAATTCAGGTTAGCCTCTGCTGCATAGCTAATTCTTAGCTAGCCTGGGCTACCTGACCCTGTAACCAAAAACACAAATTAAAAAGGAGGAAAGAAAAGAAAGGAGAACTGGGCGGTGGTGGCGCACGCCTTCAATCCCAGCACTCAGGAGGCAGAGGCAGGCGGATCTCTGTGAGTTCGAGGCCAGCCTGGTCTGCAGAGAGAGTTCCAGGACAGCCAGGGCTACACAGAGAAACCCTGTCTCGAAAAACCCAAAAGAAAAGATGAAGAGGAGGAGGAAGACTAAGAAGAAGAAGAAGAAGGAGAAGAGAGAGAGAAAAAAGCAAGAAATCGAGCGGCTCACAAGTTTGAGGCCAGTGTGGTCTACTAGTGGGATCCACTCCTCAAAAACAAACAAACATCCCAGCACTCGGGAGGCAGAGCCAGGCGGATCTCTGTGAGTTCGAGGCCAGCCTGGACTACCAAGTGAGTTCCAGGAAAGGCGCAAAGCTACACAGAGAAACCCTGTCTCGAAAAACCAAAAAAAAATAAAAAAACAAACAAACAAACAAACAAACAAACGCATACATACATATACACATAAGAAAGAAATCAGGAAGAAACTGAGGCAGGGTGAGACAGAGCTGGGTCTAGGGGTTGAGAGTGGGTAGGGGTTGAAGTCTGGCCTTACCTCTCCGGGCACTCAGGTCTCCACTGGGCACCAGGTAGCCCCGGCCGTGAGGACATAATGACTGGTACTCAGCTGCACACAGAAGCAAGAATGAACCCAGAAACCCAAGCCCCAGTCCTTGCCCAAGCCCACTGGCTCTTGCCCCCTAGAGGGCTAAAGTCCAGGTCAGTTAGTGCCCACTTCTCAGCTGCATCCCCTGATGGGGCCACCTGGTGGCTGAGGGCTCACGCTTGTCCTGGCAACACCAGCAACTCAATCCTAGACCTAAACATGTCCCTTTTCCAGGCCCCAGACCCCAGGATCTCCACTCAGAGCTCAGGCCCGATGTCTCCCCACAGCCCAAGCCTTACCCGTCTCAGTGCCCGGGCACTGCTGGATACGGCAGCCACTGCCCCAGCCTTCACCCACAGTACAGCAACATTCCTGCCACGTCACATTTCGGGCCAAGATATTGTCACACGCATCTGGAGCCGCTGTGTCAAAGTAGCACTCTCGGCGCCCACTGCTCACAGGACCCTGCCTGGGAGGGCTGGGTCTTCGAGGTGGGGGTGGGGGTGGAGGCCTGGCTGGAAGATTGGGACTGGCAGGTGCTTGGGGCTGTGAGCCTGGGAACGTGCCTGAAAAAAATACGGCTTTAGCCAGGCATATGTTGTGTCTTCTACTTTCCTATGTCAGCGACGGGAAGAGCGGGGGTGGGGGGTGGGGGGTACGACGGGACAGGGGAGGGGGACGGACGGGGGACGGGACGGGGGGACGGACACACACACGGACACGGACACGGACAAAGGCCCTGAGGGTACCAGCCATCAGCAGCAGAACAAGACAGCACACTTAGAGGTTTAGGAGGACAGATGAGGTCTCATACAACTCGGGATGACTTCGATCTCAGGATTCTCCTGCGTCCACCTACCAAGGACTAGGATTGTAAGTGTGCCCCATTACATCCAAACCTAGAGCCCTAGAGTCCTATGTATGCTAGGCAAGGACTTTAAAACCTAAATGATAACATATAATTATTATGTATATTATATTATGCATATGGATTTATTTGTTTGGTTTTCTTTCTTTTGTTTTGTTTTCCAAGACAGGGTTTCTCTGTGTAGCCCTGGCTGTCTGGGAACTCAATTTGTAGACCAGGCTGGCCTCGAACTCACAGAGATCCACCTGCCTCTGTCTCCTGAGTGTCATCACCTGGCCAAATTGTAATTTTGATCAATATTATTTAGTAGGCTAGTCTGGCCAGCAGCTCACAGAGACCCTCCTGCCTCGCCGTCTAAGTGCTGGAATTACAGGTGTGAGCCACCACACCCAGCTTCGTTTTGGCTACTCGCTGTCCCCCGTCACTTCTGTGTCCTTTGCTTCACAACCTCACCCTTTCCAGGTGTCCCCTCAGCTGTAGCACAGGTGGGGGGGACCTGTGCTTTCCAGGTGCTTCTCTGGTTCTCCACATCCAGCTGGTCCCAGACTGGACCCAACACATTCCCCCCCGGGCAGCCCCATAGCTCGTCCACATGGCTCTCAGATGTTCCTCCCATCACTCTCTGTCCCCACTCAAGGCCCCTGTTCCAGTCCAGCCCTGACCTCTCCTGCTCCGACCCTTCCACAGCACCCTAGGGAGATTTCAATCTCTTTCTCGGTTGAAACTGGCCCATGGTGCTATATGCCCTGAGGAAAAGCAACTGCCCAGAACATCAGTGAGTACTCCTTCTGGGTATGTCTGTGACAGCATTTCTAGAAAGGACTTCCAGGGGCTGGGGGTTTAGCTCAGCAGTAGAGTGCTTGCCTAGCAAGTGCAAGGTCCTGGGTTCGGTCCTCAGCTTCAGAAAAAAAAAAAAAAAAGAAAAGAAAGGAAGGACTTCCAGAAGACCCATGGCAGTCTCCCGTGGGCTAGGGCCCTGGACTGAATTAAAAGGGAGAAAAAGCCAGCTGAACCCCGAGTTGCCCTTTCTCTGCTTCCTGATCCTCACACAGTGAGCAAGAAGATTCACACTCCTGCCTCCACGTGTCCCCCACAGATGGACTACACTGTCAAATCACGAGGCAGGACAAACCCCTCCCCCCTTCCATAGTTTGTCAGATCACAGCTACCCAGTAACCCCCCCACTTCAGCTCCTTGTTTCTGTTCCCCCCACTTAACTCAGACACTGACTCCTTCAGAAGCCTCTTCTCATGCTGGCCTGGGTCTCTCCTTTCCCCTTTGCTTCCTTTGCTCTTCCATCCTCCCAGCCAGCTAGGGATATCCTTATCTCTTCATTGGACTGAACACAGGGCTGTACGCATACCAGGCAAGATCTTTACTGCTGAGCCACACCCCCAGCCTCTCACTGGGGGATTCTAGGCAGGGGCTCTACCACTGAGTCACACCCCCAGCTCCTCACTGGGGGATTCTAGACAGGGGCTCTACCACTGAGCCACACCCCAGCCCCTCACTGGGGGATTCTAGGCAGGGGCTCTACCACTGAGCCACACCCCAGTACCTTACTAGGCAATTCTAGGCAGGGGCTCTACCACTGAGTCACACCCCCAGCCCCTCACTGGGGGATTCTAGGCAGGGGCTCTACCATTGAGCCATGCCCCAGTACCTTACTAGGCAATTCTAGGCAGGGGCTCTACCACTGAGCCACACCTCCAGCCCCTCACTGGGGGATTCTAGGCAGGGGCTCTACACTGAGCCACACCCCAGCCCCTCACTGAGAAATACTAGGCAGGGGTTCTACTACTGAGCCATATCCCCAGCCCTACAATAAGGGCTCTACTACTGAGCCGAACCTCAGCCTTTCACTAGTGGGATATAGGCAAGACTCTCCCACTGAACTATATACACCTACCCAACTTTTACTTTTTATCTGAGACAAGGAAGGCCTCACTAAGTTGCCCCGGTTGTCATAAACTCACTTTATAGCCTCGAACTTTCAGTCCCACCTCAGCTTGTGGAGTAGCCTTAGGCCTTACGGCACCTGGCTCAGCTCTCTGTAGGAGACCATCAGGACAGAGATAAAGCCTCTCCACTTACTACTGTGTTCCCAGTGAGCAGCAAGGGTCTGCACATGCTGACTGGCCTATGTATACACACTGGAAGAAGGGATCCAACAGAGTTGAGCCACGATCTCATTCTCTTGACTAAGTCTAATATCACGCCAAAGGCTGGAGCCTGCAGCTCAGGGCGAAGCTGCCGCTCACTTGCCTGTTGGCCACATCATCCTGCTCGTTCTAAGGGGGCTTGCATATTTGTTTTTAAAGCGATAGCTTTTAGGATTGAAGCTGGCTCAGCTGGTGGAGTGTTTGCCCAGCAGGCACAAAGGCCAGGGTTTGATTCTCAGCACCACATAAGCCAGGCGTGGTGGCACGTCCCCCGTGATCCCAGCACTTAGATAGTAAAGGCAGGAGGATCAGATGATCGAAGTCATCTCAGCTACATAGAATCTGTGGCCAGCCTGAGCTACATGAGACCCTCCCTGGAAAAAAAAAATTGAGCTTTCAAAATGACTCACTGGGTAAAGGTGCTTGTCATGGACGCCTACCGATCTGAGTTCAATCCCAGGAACCCACGTAAAGGTGGAAGGAGAGAACCATCCTCACATGGTTGTCCTCTGACCTCCACACGCACGTCATGGGACATAACCACGTCGGCATGCATGTACCCATCACATCATACACAAGAATCAAACTTTAACAAATCAACTAAAGACTGAAGACATGGCTCTTGTGGAGGAATCAGTTATGTCCCCAGCACCCATGTGGCCTTCTAGGGCACTCACATACACATGCATGTATATTCCCACTCTCCACACACACATAAATAAAAAATAAACCTTATAGAACCCCTTTAAAAAACTGAAATAAATAATTAAAACCTTCAAAGGAACAGACAAAAAATTAAAAAAATAAAGTGATAGCATTTGACTGATGAGAGATATCAACACACACACACACACACACACACACACACACACACACACACACACACACACACACACACACACACACAGCTGAGCCACATAATTTTCCCACAGGACCAGCAGGTATTTGTTGCGTAGACACATGAGTCTTACCGGCAGAAGTCCGTGGAGGAACACAGCGCCCAGTCATGGGGTCAAACTCCTCAGGGCCGGTGGGGCAGACACACAGGAAGGAACCTTCGACATTCTCACACAGGGCAGAGCCACACACACCCTGTAGTGTCTCGCACTCGTTCACATCTGTGAGCAGGAAGTAGAGCAAGAAGGAGTCCACATTATGGACCTCTGTGGTTTCAGAAGTCCAAGATTTCGACTATAATAGATGGAGCAGAAGAGATGGCCCAGCAGTGAAGAGCACTGGCTGCTCTTGTGGAGGACCTGGGCTCAGTTCCCAGCACCCATAAGGTGGCTCACAACTGTCTGTAACTCCAGTTCCAGGGATCTGATGCCCTCTTCTGGCTTCTACAGGCACTGCATGCATGTGATGCAGATAAATACTATATACATAAAATAAAAAGAATATTCAGGACTGGAGAGATGGCTCAGAGGTTAAGAGCACTGGCTGCTCTTCCAGAGGTTCTGAGTTCTATTCCCAGCAACCACATGGTGGCTCACAACCATCTGTAATGAGATCTGGTGCCCTCTTCTGGCCTGCAGGGATGTGTGTGGGCAGAACATTGTACACATAATAAATAAATAAATAAATAAATCTTTAAAAAAAAGAATATTCAAATATAACTGATAATAATCAGTCTCTAAATAGATATATGGCTTTTGAGGTAGGATCTCACTGTGTAGCTCTGGATCATTATGTAGACCAGGCTGGCCTTAAACTTGTGGCAATCCTCCTGCCTCTGCCTGAGTATCAGGATTGTATCTGCATGAGCCAACACTGCCAGCATTTTGTTGTCCTTGCTTCATAAAAAACAAAAACAAAATCAAAAAACCAGTCAGGTGGTGGTGGCGCACACCTTTAATCCCAGCACCCAGGAGGCAGAGGCAGGTGGATCTCTGTGAGTCCGAGGCCAGCCTGGTCTATAGAGTTTCAGGGCAACACAGAGAAACACTGTCTTTAAAACAAACAAACAAACAAAACAACAAACAAAAACAAAACAAAAAAACGCAAAAACCAAAACCAAAAACAACAACAAAAACAATTTTACACTTTAACCCAGGATAGTTTGGAACTCCCTGTATAGGCCAGGCTGCCCCTAGCCTTGTGGTAATCCTCCTTGTCTCTTAGGAGCCTGGCATGCACCACTACACCTGGTTCACAGTACAAATTTTAAAAAAATGTGTGTGTGTGTGTTTGTGTGTGTTTGCACATGTCTGCATGTGTGTCATGTGCATGGTTCCAGTGGAGACCAGGAGAAGGTGTTGGATACCTGGGAACTGGATTCTAGATGATTGTGAGAATCCTGAGAATTGAACCCCAGTCTTCTGAAAGACCAGAAAGTACTCTTAACTGCTGAACCAACTTTCCATCCGCCGGAGTGGACATTTTTTTTTTAACAGCCTATTGTCTACTTTCCCTCTGGTTAGAAGCCCTAACTTTCCCTTGGGAATTCTCTCAGCTTCCAAGTCCATCCCATGCATCCCAAGTACAGCCAGGTCTCCACTGGGGCAGAACCAATCAGGTTACTGCGATTCTCCGGGTCAGAGGCAGGCAGTGACCTCTTCATGCCAATCAAAGCCAATCTCAGACTTTCTGGGTCACCTCCTTAGCTCTGCAGCTGCCAGGCTGAGGCTGTCAGCCCAGACAGAGCCAGGGCCACCTGCCACTGCCTGCAAACCAACCCAGCAGACGGAGACAGGCAGCTTCCTGCAGTTCTTGGCTCCAGTCACATCTCACTCACAGACTTTGCCATTTCAATCCCTCCCTCTCCTCTCAGCTCTTTTTTATTTTATGTTTTGTGTGTCTGCCATGCACATACACACATGCAGTATGTATGTGCATCATCTGAGTGCCTGGTGCGCTCAGACATCAGAAAGGGGCAGCAGATCTTCTGGAACTGGAGTTACAGTCGTGAGTCACTACGTGGGTGCTGGGAACTGAACCTGATTCTTTGCAAGAGCAGCAAGTGGATAATCCCAGCACTCAGAAGGTAGAGGCAGGTGAAGCTCTGAGTTCAAGGCCACCCTGGTCTACAGAATGAGTTCCAGGACAGCCAGGGCTACACAGAGAAACCCTGTCTCAAAAATACGTTAATTAATTAAAAATAAAAAATATGTATTTGGCTGGGCATGGTGGCACAGGTCTTTAATCCCAGCACTCATGAGGCTGAGTATGAAGCTAGCCTGATCTACATAGTGAGTTTCAGGCCACACACGAGTTGGGGCAGGAGAGATGGTTCAGCATTTAAGAGCACTTGTTCTTGCAGAAGACCCAGGTTCATTCCCAGCACCCACTTAGCAGCTCACAACTGTTCATAACTCTATTTCCAGGGGATCTGACACCCCTTCCTCCAAGGGTACCAGGCACGCATGTGCTACACAGACATCCATTCAATCAAAATACACACACACACACACACACACAATATATATATATATATATTTGTTTGTTTGAGACAGTGTTTCTCTGTGTAAGAGCCTCGATGTCCTGGAATTCACTCTGTAGCCCAGGCTGGCCTTGAACTCAGAGAGATCCGCCTGCCTCTGCCTCTCAAGTGCTGGGATTAAAGGTGTGTGCCACCACCACCTGGCTATATATTGCTTTTTAATCAAGCATATATGTGTGTATCTATATGTAGGTATATATATATGTGAGTGCAGGTGCCCTCAGAGGCCAGAGGTGGTAGATCTCCTGGAGCTGGAGTTACAAGTGGCGGTGAGTCTCCTGACATGGGTGCTGCGAATCAAGTGTAGGTCCTCTAAGACAGCAATCCACCCTCTTAACTGCTGGGCCATTTCTCCATCCCTTCCCATGCCTTCTTAAATCTCTTTTAAGAAGTAAAGGCAGTTGGTGAAGTAGCGCAGTGGTTAGTGCTTAACTAGCATATGGAGGGCCCCAGGTTCCACCCCTACCACTGCAAGAAAAGAGAGATAAAGAAAACAAGTAAAGCCACTGAGAATTGTTAGTTCAAGGCCAGTCTGGGCTGCATAGTAAGGCCCTGTCTCATCCCTCATCCCCCCCAGCCAAAAAGAAAAAATAAGAAAGTCTGTGTTTGTATTTGTGAAAACATAAAGAATACACAACTCAATCGCATGCACTACACTGTGTATATATTGGATCCCTAGGGCCCGTGAGATGGCTCAGAAGGTAAATGCTCTCACTTGCTGCCAAGCCTATGACCCAAGTTTATCCCCAGGGCCCCACACGGTGGAAGGAAATAACAAACTCTTACAGGTTGTCCCCTGCCCCCCACATGCATTGGGCCTCATAGGAAATGTCTGTAAAGGCATAATGAACTCCAATTAATGATGTGCAGAGTGAAGACTGGCTCATGACTGTAATTCCAACACCCAGGAGACAAAGGCAGAAGGATTGGCAAGCTGAAGGCCAACCTGTTCTATGTAGTGAGTTCAGGGCCAGTCAAGCCTAGAGTGATATTCTTTTTTCAAAAACAAGCTCTCAAAAAGCCCACCAATCTGTCCAAACACCTGTAGGTGGATATATGAAGGAGCCAGTATACTAAGAGGATGATGATGTCGGTGACAGTGACGGTGGTAGTAATGACAGAATCCATGCGGTGGACATGCCGGGAGCAGCCTACAATTTTCTCTATTTGCTGTGTGTAGAAATTTCCTGTCCGATCTGGTGGCTCAAAGCTGTAATCCTAGCTACTAGGGAGGTTGAGGCAGGAGTTTCACAAATTCAAGGCTTGCCTTAGCTGCAAGGTGATTTCAAGGCCAGCCTTGGCAATTCAGTGGTCCTATTTCTAAATAAAATGTAAAAATTGGGCTGGAGCCTGATGTGATAGCACACAATTGTTATCTCAGCCCTTCAGAAGAGGAGGCAGGAGGGTTCAAAATGGGAGGCCATTCTCGTCTATACAGTGAGTTCAAGGCATGAAACCTTTTCCCCTGAGAAAAACAAAAACAAACAGAATGCCAGAAGTATTTGGGATGTAATTTCATTGAGAGAGAAAAAAATTAACGTTCACACAAAACTTGAGGGTTTGGAGAGAGATGGCTCAGTGGCTGACAGCATGGGCTGCTCTTGCAGATGACCCAGGGTTCAATTCCCAGCACCCCCATGTGGCTCACAACCACCTATAACTCCAGTGCCAGGGCATCCCATGCCCTCTTCTTACCTTTGTGGGCACCAGTCACAAATGTGGTGCAATAAATACATGTAGGAAAAACATAAAATAAAATGAATAAATCTTTAAAAAAAACTTATATAAGCAAACAAACAAAAAACTAAGTAAGGCTTCTGTCACTTAAATCTTTTTGTTTGGAGACAGGGTCATGCCCTATTGCCCAGGCTAGCCTGGAACTTGCTATTTAGCTCAGGCTGGCCTCGAACTCACAGCAATCCTCTTGTTTCTACCTCCCAAATGTTAACATTACAGAAGTTAGCCCCCAAGTTTGGCACGCAGGATAGTTTTAACTGGTATGTCTCAGACCTTAGATTCCCGGAACTAATTCTGCAACTCTAGGGTTCATATTTCTCCCTCTCTGGTCTCACCCACCCCTGCAGTCCCTTACCCACGCAGTGACGTCCGTCCCGTGCGCCTTCATAGCCTTGGTCACAGACGCACTGGAAGGAGCCAGGTAGGTTCTGGCACACGGCGTGGGCACCACAAAAGGACCGGTTCCGGCACTCATCCACATCTGTAAGCACCAGCCGGCCATTTCAATAAGGCCATATCTACACCTTGAATCCCCCCCACATCCCAGCTACTACCCCACGGACACCCACCCTGGCACCCGCCCCCTGGGGTGGGCTGATAGCCAGGGTCGCAGGCTGGCGTGCAGCGGTAGGAGCCAGGGGTGTTCTCACAGCGCTGCGCTCCACAAATTGCAGAGCCGTATTCCTGGCACTCATCCACATCTGCAAGAGAGTGAAGGAGGGGCAGAGGAAGGGAGCCAAAGGCCTGAAAAGGAGCCGGGGGCAGTTGTTCCTAATGCCGCTTCCAGTCGCCGAGATTGCGAGGTCCCTGAGCCCGGCGTTCGATGAGTCTGGTAGCTCTTACTACCGTTTCTGAAACAGCTCGAACAGGGCCCCACCTCAGGGCCTTTGCTCCACGCTGCTCTCTCTGCCAGATATTGTCCCCACAGCTATGTGCATGGGCCCCTGCCCCTCACTTCAGTGACATATCAAAGTCAAGCCTCCCTTCCCCCACTGTCCCGTCACACCTGCCATTTTTCTTCTTCTGTCCCCTCCCCCTTTTCGTTGAGAATTTCACATGAGTACTGTATTTACATCATTTCCATCAATTCTTCTCACTGATCCAATCAATTCCCTGTCCTCCCCACTCCTGACTCCCTTTCAAATCCATGACCTTTACTTCCTTCCTTCCTTTTTTTTTTTTTTTTTTTTTTTTTTTTTTTTAATGGGACAGGGTCTCCCTAAGGATCCTTGACTGTCCAGGAACTCACTATGAGGACTGGGATGGCCTTGAACTTACAAAGATCTGCCTGCCTCTGCCTCCCAAGTGTTGGGACTAAGGCCATACACCATCATGCCTGGCTTGTCTTTATTCAGTTTAAAATTTTGTTTTGTTTTAGAGACAAGGTCTTGTGTAAAGCAAGTTGGCCTTGAATTCCATGTAGCCAAGGAAGATAGTAAACTCCTCAGGCCTCCACCTTCCAGTTACTGGGACTGTAGGGTCGGATGCAGTCATACCTATTTATTCTCCCTTTTAAAGCTAGCATTGTTTTTTATTTAGGGTCTCGTGTAGCTTAGGCTGGCCTCAAACTTGCTACGTAGCCAAGGATAACCCCAAACTTCTGATCCTCCAACCTCCACCTTCCAAATGCTGGGATCACAGTACTGGGTTTATGCATTTATCCAGTGTCTGTCTGTCTTGCATTTGAGGCAAGCATCCTATCAGCTGAGGAGCATTCTCAGTCTCATAGTCTCTTTCTGGGATTTTTTTTTTTTCAAGACAGGGTTTCTCTGTGCAGCGCTGGCTGTCTTGGAACTCTCTTTATAGATGAGGTTGGTCTCGAACTCCCAAGGATCTGCCTGTCTCTGCCTCCCGAGTACTGGGGTTAAACGCATGCGCCACCATGCCCGGTTCATAGCCTCTTTTATTCTTTCTTCTTTTTTAATTTATTTTTATTTCATATGACTGGTGTTTTGCCTGTGTGTATGTCTGTGTGAAGGTGTCAGATCCTCTAGAACTGGAGTTACAGACAGTTGTGAGCTGCTACGTAGGTGCTGGGAATTGAACCAGGGTCCTCTGGAAGAGAAGCCAGTGCTCTTAACTGCTGAGCCACATAACTTAACTCCAGCCCCCATAGCCTCTTTCTTAAACCTGACTTTAAGCTGGGCATGGTAGCACATGCTTGTAATTCCAGCACTTGGGAGACAGAGCCAGGTGTTCTGGTGCACGGCTAAAACTCAAGTCCTAGGAAGGCTGAGGCAGGAGGATTGCTGCAAGTTGCAGGCAAAGCATATCCTACAATAGTGACTTTCAAGCTAGCCAGAGTTGCACACACCCACACCCATACACATGGGAGGTGGGGGGTGGAGGGTGCAGGCTGTCTCAAACCAAAAAACAAGTTGAAGGTCAGCATGGACCACACAGCAAGACACTGTCTGAACAAAACAACCTTGTCACTGTGTCTGTAAAATTATCGGTGTGCAGACAGTGACCATCCTGCAATGCAAACCCCACACCAACGAAGATTTCTGCCTGTCAAGGCAGCAACAGCGCCTGTCATACAGAAAGGGCCTCAGAGTTGTCTGTGGGATGGTTCCTGACTTTATTTACATAGTTACCCCCCCACATTAGCTCAGAGAGCAGGGGTTTTGTTTAGCTTGTCTCCTGCTGTGACCCCAATGTCTGGCGTCCAGCAAGTACTTACTGAAATCTTTGGAATTAATAATTGAGATCTTAGGAAATTCGATTTGTGTGAGTCAGAGGATTAGCCACTGGGGAGGGAAATGCAGCCCTTAATAGTTTTGTTTCATGGGTCACGGAAAATACTGATCCACACAGCACCCCTTCCCTCAAAAGTATATTCGAGCAGCTCAGTAAGGGGAGGGGGGTCTCACTTGTCCTGATTCCTGATAAGAGAGCCCCCACCCCATAATTAAACACATGCACAGGGCAGTGGCTAATTTCTACCAGAGAACAGCGAGGGAACAAAGGAAGTGTTGTGTGTTAGCCTCGGACCTCTCCTGGGTTTTTGAGACAGGCTAGCTCTCCTCTAGTTCCCAGGGGAACAGACTCCAATAACCTGTCACAGATTTGGGGGGATCTGTCTTACCATCACAGGTGCCCTCAGGGCCAGGGTGGTAACCAGGATCGCAGTCCCGCACACAGCGGTAGGAGCCCGGGGAATTTTCACAGCGCTGAGACCCGCACAGGGCAGGTCCCCGTTCACGACATTCGTCAATGTCTGAGAACAGAAGCCGGGGAGAGAGTCAAGAGGGAGAAGCAGAGGTGAAGGTAAAGGGGGAAGGGGTGGGGAAAAGAGGCGGGAAGTCGGGAGAAGCAGGAGGCAGCGGAGAGGGGCCTCTCACCAAGGCAGGAGGCGAGATCTGGGCCAGCCCGGTGTCCAGGAGGACAGACGCACTCGAAGGAGCCGTCAGTGTTGGTGCAGATGCCGCTCTGACAAAGGTCCTCTTCGCTGCACTCGTCCACGTCTGCAGGATGGGGCATCCGAAACCCAGGGCCACACCCCTCCAATTCCCCCATCCCGAGCCTCCAAGCTCCAAAGCCTTAGCCGAAGGCCTCACCCAATCTGCTTTTCTTGCAAGCCCCGCCTCCGGTCTGAAGACCTTTCTAATCACTACCCAGCTGTCAGATTTCAACCTTTCCTGACGCGACCTACTTCTCCATGATTGCCACCTCCAGGCCTCTGGAAGGTCCACCCCAGTGAGCCATGTAGATTCCCCCAAACTGGCCAAAAATTCAGAGTCCCCTTTCCGCCCTCTTCCTCTTGTCCCTCATTTTCGTGCTGTAAGCCAACCCTTTCCGTGCTCAGATACAGCCTAGGGACTGACCCAGACAAGAAGCTCCGCGAGGTCCAGGCCGGTAGCCAGGGGCACAGGTACAGGCAAAGGAGCCGTCGGTGTTGAGGCACTCTCCGTGGGGGAAGCAGTAGTCGCCTTCCAGACACTCATTTATGTCTAGGGCACACAAGTGTCGGTGTTGGACTGACCGTAATGTAACCCTACCACCCAAGTGGAAACTTTGAAGACTGAATTATTTTGAAAACCCCTTTCTTAATCGGTTTTACATCTCTAATGGGCTTCGCCCAAGAACCCAGGCTTTACTCAGGAGAGCTAGCTCACCTGCACAAGGCCCAGGTCGACCAGATGGTGCCCTGGTAACCTGGAGCGCAGCTGCAGTGGAAGGAACCCTCAGTGTTGGTGCACTGGCCGTGGAGACCACAAGGGGTGCCCGAACTGCATTCGTCCACATCTGTGGGGGCGGTTGGGGGGCTCAGAAGGGGTACACTAGAGCAAAGGGGTTGCTGGAAGTCATGGGGAAGGGTCTTGAATGGAGGATGGAGGAGTGCCTCAGGATTAGACATTCTTGGATCTGGGTATCTGAGACTCCCTCCACGGGATCCCGGGGTCAGGGAAAGGGACTCTAGATTAGCACTGGGGGTCAGAATTTAACTAAGGGAAGGAATGAATTGAGGCATTATGAACTAGGATTATTGGATAAGATTCTGCTAAATAAATGGGTCAAAGTAAGCTGGAGTCAGAGGTTACAGCCAGGGTCCAGAATCCTGCCTGATGTCAGGGGTAAGTGCCAGGGTCAAGGATCATGTACCCAAATAAGTTCCAGGGAAGCAATTCTGAGAAGGGGGTGTGGATGGTGAATGAACCAGAATAAAATGGTCAGGATTGTAGGGGTTTGTTTTGTTTTGTTTTGTTTTCCATTAGGATCAAATGGCACAGTCAAATTTAGGGTCATGGGCCACATTTAGGGCCAGGAAACAGTGAGGGTTCAGAAATGTATTATTGCTGAGAGTCAAGGTCAGGGGTTGTCAGCAAGGGTCGTGGTTAGCACCAAAATGACCCCGCCGAGTCACATCTTCCTAGGTTACAGTCACAGGTCAAGAGTGTGGTCAAGTCAGGCACTGCAGGTGAAGGGCACATGGAGTCAGAGTCAAACTTGGTTGTCATGATCCATGTAAGGGGACTGAGGTCCAGGTCCCAAGTTATGGGTCAAGCCACGGTCACAGACCAGGTCAAGGGTCAAAAATCTGAGGTTCAGGCCTAAAATACAGGTCTCAGGTCCCAGTTGATCTCACCAGTACATCTGCCACGGTGCAGGTGGTGGCCAACAGGGCAAGCCCGGCATTGGAAGGAGCCCGGTGAGTTCACACACTCCTGCCCAGGACACGCCAGGTGGTTCTCACACTCGTCCACATCTGAGAAGCGGGAGAGAGAGGTCCTGAGGAAGTGGCCCCATGCCTCCTCACCCTTCCACACCCCTCCCTCCCTCCCCGGCCTCACCCTCGCACTCAGAGCCCGCAGCATTGGCTTGGAAGCCTGTAGGGCAGACACACTGGAAGCTTCCTTCTGTGTTCTCACAACGGCCATAGGCGCAGGGCGAGGGGCTCCGGGCACACTCATCCACATCTGGGCAGGAGAGGCCAGTCAGGCTGAGGAAGAGGCCTGGGCTCCTCCCTACTGCCATCAACACCTACCCCAACACTCTGATTTGTGTTTACCTGGGACAAGATCTCACACTGCAGCCCAGACTGGCCTTAACCTCACACTAGTCCTCCTGCCTCAGCCTCCTGAGCAGTGGGGTTGCAGACAGGAAGCACCAGCATTCTGCTCTTGAACCAGCCTTTCACAGGGTGAAGAGCCTGTCGAGCCTGTCTCCTCCTTCCAGGAGGACAGAGTCAAAGCCTGTCCACCCACTTAATAGTCTTTCTAGCCGCTAGGAAGACTAAGGCATTGACTTGTCCATGTCCCTGCCACAGCTGTCTCGGCTTTAAAGTTCCCACAATACAAAAATATCATTCAAACTAGGGTGGCAAGATGGCTCAGCACAAAAGACACTTGCATCAAGTCTGTCAGCAGAGTTCGATCCCTGGGGCCCACATGGTGGAGGGAGGTAACTGACTCCAGTAAGTTGTCCCCTGATCTCCACACTCCCACAGCGTCACAGGCCCACCCACCCTCTCACACCCTCCCCCTGCATAAAACAAACAAACAAACAAATAAAGAAATGTGGTTTTTAGACATTTAAACGGGAAGAGGGTCAGGCATTAATTATAGGTGGACAACCTTAATATCAGCACTCAGGAGGCAGAGGGGGGGGGGTCATGAGTTCAAGGCCACTACATGAGGAAGAGCAGGAGCTCTCTCAGCGGGAAGAAGGGAAAGAAGATAGAATTCAGCCAGATCTGCGAAGCTTTCTCAGTGCTACCCTCACCTGACCTCTATCTCAGAGCCCATCCTAAGGCCTCTCTACTCCCAAGTAATGTCTCTCTCCACCCCCACAGCAAGCCATGCCGGGGTGCTGCAGGCCTGGGCTCAGCATCCTTACCTTGGCAGGGGGCCCCTGGTCCTCGGGAGCGGAAGCCAGCTGGGCAGGCACAGTGGAATGAGCCCGCAGTGTTGTCGCAGCGGCCTGGCCCACAGGGTGGAGGCTGCTGGGCACACTCGTCCACATCTTCTTCACACGTCGAGCCCCGGAAGCCAGCCGGGCAAACACAGCGGAAAGAGCCGGGCAGGTTTTCGCAGGCCCCGCGGCCGCAGAGGCCTGGGCTCTGGGTGCATTCGTCCACATCTGCATGGAGCAAGCAAACCCCGGGGTCTCCAGCGTGATTCATGTCCCCCCGACCCCCCCCCCCCCCACACACACCATGCTACACTCTGTCTGAGCTCTCTCATCTTGTCTTTCCACTCTCCCCTATTCCTCCTTCCTGTCTTCATCCTCCACCAATCCTAACAGAGTTGTGTGGTGGGTTCCTGGAACTCTGACTCGCTGGTCCCCATTAATTGAGCTACATTTGTCTTCCATAACTCAGCCACCTTTCCCAATTACATCTCTATCCCTTCTCCACCCTCCATAATCCAGCCCTTCTGTTTTCCATCACTTGGCCTTTCTCTCCGATCCAGGTCACTACATTTGGTTCTCCAACCCTGGTCTGCGTCCCCCGTCAGGAAGCCACTCTTTGCCCCCTTGCTCAATTTCTCCAACCTCATCGCTACATATGCACCCCTCACCTTACACCCTCTTTCTTTCTGTCCCCTCCCAGACCCTCACCCTGGCAGCTGGCTCCGTGCGGTGCTGCCTGGTATCCGGCGGGACACACACATAGGAAACTGCCTGGCTTGTTCTCGCAGCGCCCGCGGTCACACGGCGGCGGCACGCGCTGGCACTCGTCCACATCTGTGGGCAGAACCCAGAGACTAGTATGGGGCAGCCACACACAGTCCCTGAGTCCTGAGAGATGTGAGGCCGAGGGAGGAGCAGCAGGGGGCAGGACCGACAAGGGAGGGGCGGAGCTAAGAAGGTAGGCGGAGCCAGAGTGGGTAGGCTTTAAAGCGAAGGCGGAGATCGATCCTCGAGGTTAGTACGAGGCCTGGTCAGGACCACTGGTGAAAGCAAGATAGTGGGAGGACGGGAGAGGACGGGACCTGGGAAAGGACAAGAGCGGGAAAGAAATCTTTGTGGCCCAAAGGAAGAAAAGGAAGGCAGGGACAGGGGCAGAGAACGAACGGGCAGTTTGGGGTGAGAGCTGGGGGTGGAATCGGGATCCGTAGTCAGATTAACTGCAGAAATTGTAGAACTCAGACGGGGCCTGGAGGTGGGAGCTAGTCCAGGATACGGAGGGCGGAGCTAGTGAGAACAGAGCTTGGACAAGATTTGGACAAAAGCTGGGCCACAGGCAAAGGAAGGGCCAGGTTAGATGCGGAGCAGGGATGGGGCCGAGCTGATCTTGGACCGGTGGCCAGGCCAGGACAGGGTGCTGTAATAGAGCTGGACCGGCGTGGGGAGGCGAAGGAGCAGCCGTGAGCTGTTCTGCAGTGAGAGCAGAGCCAAGACCCAAGAAGGGGTGGAGCCTGGGGCCCAGCCGGGCGCGATTCTCACCCAGGCACTCTGTAGCCCGCGGGCTCGCACGGAAGCCAGTGCCGCAAACGCAGCGAAAGCTGCCTGGTGTGTTCTCGCAGCGCCCAGGAGCACAGGGCATAGGCACGCGGCGACATTCATCTACGTCTGAGGGCACGAAGCAGGCTGGTTACGTGGTGGCCAGGCAGAGGACTCTCCACCCCAGGCCCGGCTTCACTGAACCCCCTCTGCCTAGCTTACCTACGCAGCGAGTGCCCTGGGGGCTGAGCCGGAAACCTGGGTCACACGCACAGGTGTAGCCACTGGGCCGGGGAACGCAGCGTCCAGGACCACAGACCTGGGGATTGCGCTGGCACACCCTGGAGGAAGGACCTGCGGGAGCCAGTCAGCCAGGTTCCCATAACTGAACTTCTTGTCCTTTCCATGCCAGAACAGTGCCCTTAGTTCCTTTAAAGTACCTGATGAGTGTCCCCTCAAGTGTAATCTTGGAGGATCATATTGTCATTTACTCTGCGAGAGTCTCATCAGATCTGCCTGAACCCACCCACAATGACATTCACATATCCCGTACTTCAGAGGCATTTTCTTGAAACCTCTTATGATGCCCATTTTATGGGATAAGAAATGGCCTCAGAATTTAACTGGCTCTGGTACCTGAGGGAGCCATTACCCAAACCTTCAAATTCTTCCCTCTCCTCATCCTTCCTCACATCTTTCGTCTTTCCCAACACCTTCACCATGAAGCCTTGCCACACAGAAGTCACAGTATTTTGGCTACCACCCTCAGATTCCTACAGCACCTGATTCAGGACTCTCTGGACCAGTCCAAGCAGGGGTGCTGGGCAGGGGAAATTCAGGACCAGGTCGGGGTTCAGGCCGAGGCTGGGGTTCAGGCCGAGGCTGGGGTTCAGGCCGTGGCCGAGATTCAGGCCGTGGCTGGGGTTCAGGCCGAGGCCGAGATTCAGGCCGTGGCTGGGGTTCAGGCCGTGGCTGGGGTTCAGGCCGTGGCCTGGGTTCAGGCCGAGGCCGAGTGGGCAGAAAGCCTGGTAAAGAAAGTATGAAGATCTAAATTTAGGTGTTCTTGCTTGTTCCTCTGCTCTGTGTCCTATGCACCTCCTGCAGCACCTGAAAAATGACATCCCTTCCATCTAGGATTCAGCTCACCTGCGGGTGGCCGAGCAGTGGCTGGTGGGGCACGTGGTTGAGTGAAGTCCACTCGAAGTGGATCCTGGCTCAGGGGTCTGGTGTTGTAGCGGAGGTCAGAGGCTGAATAGTGGTAACCAGGGCCAGCTGGGCAGATCTCCCGAAAACCCTCTGAGAACAAGACAAGGGAAGGTCGGGAGAGGAGACAGATGAGATCTTGTGAGTCGTGAACAGGCCTTGGCTGGGAACAAAGCTTGACCTGAGACAGTGTCAAGAGTCTGGCTTACATGCTGGATGGAGTAGTGTACGGCTAAAAAACAAAATGTTCTGGAAGCCAATGGTAGAGCCATGAGCGTTTTCCTCATTTGGGATGGTGGTGGAGAGTTCTGGTCAGCCTAACTTTAAGGTCGTGCGACCCAGGAGTGGGTGTGACTAAGGAGAGAGGTGAAGCCCAGGGCTGAGTCCAGGACTATGAAGTGGTCAGCGGTTGCCAGTGTGACCAAGGCACCACCAGGTTTGCAGGCACTGAACCTTAGAGACTGAGGCAGGGTCTATACAGAGTCTGTGTGTGTCTGTTAGGAAGGGATGGGTCGAAAAGACTAGCTCACCTGAACCATAGGGTGGGCAGAGCTGGCAGCCGCGGCCCCAAGCCTTGCCCACACGGCTACAGCAGCAGATTTGTTTGGTGATATTTCGGAGAATGGGCAGCGAGCATCCGCCATCGTGGAGCACTCGGTAGCAGGGCCCCTTTGCCTCCGAGATCACGTGTTGGGCTGGGGGATGGGAGGAAATTCTTCAGGGCGGGTGAGGAGTTCAGCGGTTCTGGGAGGGGGAATAGGGAAATGGTCCCAGGGAAGATTTAGTGGGTGGGTGCAAGGACATCCAGGGAAGCCTGGGGGAGGGATCTGAAAGACAGCTGAGTGCCCAGAGCTTGAAGTAGGGCATAAACGAGAAGCTAAAATCAGAATCTGAAAGCTGTCTGGAGGCCAAGGGGTTGAGAGAATTTGGAGATATTAAAGGAACTCAAGATTTAGGGAGTCTGAGGGGCTTGGATGTAAAAGGTTTGAGGGCTGGAGGGGGGAGGTGTTCTGAAATCATCTCAGAGATCTGTCTGAAGGTCCAGGATAAATCTGAGGGGGACCTGAAAGTCTAGAAGGGTTTGGGTATCTGATGGGATTAAGGGTCCATGAATACTCTGGGATACGATCTAGGGTCAGCCACGGTTTGGGATCCAGCTGCAGAACGCCCCTCCTGGTGGCTCACAGATACAGCTGCTTCGGGAAGAGTCCAGCAGGAAACCGTCCGGACACACACACGTGTACCCGCCACGAGTGTTGGCACACTCCCCGTGTTGGCAACGCCCACCTGTGGCACACTCATCCACATCTGCAAGAATTGAGCAAGTTTTTGGCAAGTAAGGGACTACATCCCCAGCAGCCCCGCCCCCCTCCCCTGCCGTGCCTTACCTACGCAGGACCCATTAACCCTCTCGAAGCCGGTTGGACATGGTCCATTTGGGCCATTCACTGGGTTGGAGTTCCCTGTGGAGAAAGGAGGGGTCGGGGCAGGGAGAGGTTGGCAGGAGACAACCAAGCAGTTTTGAAGAAAGATTAAGTGGGAAGGGCTAAAAGGAGTGAGGTGTGGTTTTAGTACCAAATCAGCCTCCCTTTGGCAGCTTAGTAACTTCGGAGGATCTAGAAATGCATGGATGAGACCAAGGCACAGAAGCCGATTGAAAAGTGTGACCAAAATCAGAAAAATGGGGTAAATGGACTCAACGGTATTGAAAAAAATCTAGACTAGACACGACCCCCATAACAAGGTAGGTATAGCTAGGATTTGTGACTGAGGTTTATCTGTGCCCGGAGGAGAAGAGGCGAGGTTTGGGGACGACCTGGGGCTTACCCAGGTGTTCCGAGCACGGCTGACAATCATGAACACCCCAGGCCAAGCCCTCCCCTCGGCAGCATACTTCCTGAGTCCGGAGCCCGGGCAGCGGCGACGCACACTGTTGGAGAAGTGATGCGTGAGCGCGCCCCCGCGCGGTGGTATGCTTTAGGGGGGTCCCCCAGCCCGCGGGCCTGGTCTCACTTCGCTTCCGCGCAATTCCCTGAAACAGTAACCGAAGCCAGAGGCGTCTGAGTAGCCGTCCTCGCGTGGCGCGCTCTGTGCCAGCACTGTGTAGGGCGCCGCCGCCTCGGCCCGTGCTGCCGCTTCAGCCCTGGCTAGGGCTTCAGGGTTCGCCTCTTCCCAGGGGCCCGACACACGTTCCACCTGGTGCACCACCACCGAGGCCTCCTGAGGGTGCTCCACGTGCACGCTCACCATCGATGCCACACCTGAGCAGAGGCAAGATGGACAAAGGGGTAAGTCTACACGAGTTCTGCCTTGCTGGGGCTAGATTGGTGAGGTGAGCTGAGGACGGGTACTTGATATTTGGGTGGGTTTCTTGTGGGGGAGGGTGCTGTAATGTAATCAGGCCTGCAATTTTCAGTGATCCTCCTGCCTCTCCACCCCGAGAGGTGCGATTACAGGTGGAAGCTACCAAACCGGGCTTGGGAGGGTAGCAGAGAAGGCAACAAACTTGGCCAGAGAATGGTCAAGTTCCTGAAGTGAAAGTGGGATCAGAGGCCCTTTGGCTAAATTCTCCTCACCATGTTCGTCATCGCGGTGATTGGCTAGTGGCATGGTGTACACGGAGCGCGTAAGGCCCGGCATGGCTGGGGCCGGGGGCCGGGCCCCCGAGGAATGCAATTGACAGAATTTGCCAGCGAAATCCGGGGGACAGAGGCAACGGTCAGGCTTCACACACACACCACCGTTGTGACAGATCAAGGGACATAGGTCTAAGGAGAAAGCAAGGACACAAAAAAATCAGTGATGTGCCTGACAGACAGCCCTGCGTCGGGAACCCAAGCTAACTCAGTCCCCAGCGCTGTAACTCGAGGTCCTCAAGTTACATTCATTCTACATCTCTCTACCTTAGGTGTCTTTTTTGTTTATTTGCTTTTATGTTTTGAGGTAGGGGCTAATGTAGCCCAGGCTAGCCTCAAAAACCCACTATATAGCCATGCTTGAACTCCTGATCCTCCGAACTTTTGGGATAACAGCAGGATGCCGCCACCACACCAGGCTTTTCTTTTAGCAGTTTTGTGGCCATTGGCCAAATCTGACTATACGACTACATCGGTTGGGTCAAGTTGCGAAGCTATTACATAGTGTCGCCTACTAAGTGGGCTCACTCCGCCCCCTCTCTCTGCATTCTCTTTCCCATTTTCTTGGCGGAGTTCGGGCGTTCTAGCCCCGCCCCGACAGTGCTACTCCCGCCCACTGGATTAACTCCGCCCACCTTAGCTCTCTTTGCCCAACCCAACACATCCACTTTCTGCCTCCTTAGCCGGAACCCAAGAAGTCCCAGCTTTTCCCTTTGGCCAGGCACTCCTTTCTAGTCCCGCCCACATGGCCTTCTACCTGAGATTGTAAACTCCGCCTGACCACGACACCTGGTAGCTTTAGTCCCGCCCACTCACTTTCCTACCTCTGATTTGCCCTGACTCACGCCCCTCCTACTCCAGGGCCAGCTAGGAGACTTAGTCCTGCAGTTTCTGCCTTCCCTCCCTGCCTTCGGTAGCACCGGGCGGGGCAACTAGCGGGGACGCGCCTCTACTCCCCTCTGCGCGCCCTCTCTGGGCCCCAGGCCACCTCTGGGGCGGGGCACTGCCAGCTGTGCGGCGGGTAAACAAAGAAAGGGGTGCAGCGGGGGCAGGGCGTCGTCTCCACATTCCGGACCCTTGGGGAGCCCCGGACTGCTGAGCCAAAGGAGGCCGGACGTGTCTTTCGAGGGCACCCGCCTCCCTTCCTCCCCTGGGGCTGCCGAAAACAGCTGGAGACAGCTGCGCTCAGGGGAAGGAGGGAGCAGACAGTCCGGGCTGTCCGGGGAGGTGTGTGTGTGGGATTTTCTGAGCCCCAATTGTACAAAAGAAAGCACGGGATGGGGGTGGGGGCGGGAAACCTCAATTTAGACCAGTCAGGGCACAGGCGTCCTCGGAAGCTATGAGCGTGGAGGCAGTACTCTGGGGTTAAAAAACGACCCAAGTTTTCTAGGAGGCAGGGAGAGGCTAGCTCAGAGTAAATCTAGGCTCTCAACTAAGAGTCTTTCAAGTCCTTTCGGAGAGTTGCCTAGAAAACAGGACTTTCTGGAGGCGGGGGTGTGGCCCATGTGAGGGTGCTGAGGATAAGGAGAAAGGGAGACTGGAAGTTTCCAACATATTAAGAGTCTCAAGTTGCTGGAACCTTAGGATTCTGTGGAAAGTCCTACCCCTTCCTAGCTAAGGGGCTGGTTGCCCAGAGTTTTGATTAGTGGCTGTCTGTGATAACAGACAGATAACAGTCTCTGGAGTATTCTTGGGAGGATCCATTGAGACCAATTCTGGGATTCTCTGAGGATGGGAGTCCCAAGTTCCTAGGGAGAGGATAGGACAGAACTTGAAGAGAGGAATCTACATTAGAAATAGAAGAAAATAAGAGACTATGTGGGGAGAGACTTGAGGGGAGGGCTGGAGGGGGAGAGTTATCTCCACTTAAGGCTTGGGCTTGAGGGTTTCTGGGGAAGTGGGAAGCCGTTGGGTGACAATACTAGAGTTCTCCAGGGAGGGGCGGCAGCTTGGAGGAGTACCTCCAAAGACGGCCACGGCAGTTCTCGGAGGCAGCCCTGGAGTGTTTGACCCGGGGTGAAGAGGGACCTCAGGATCGGGTGATCAGAAACCCGGATCTCCCGTTAGGAGCGTTAACCCTGGACTCCAGGTACCTTAACGAGGCTCTTTAAATGACAGTTCAAGAAGGGCTCAACTGAGAAGCAAGATTGCAAAAATGGCAGTGTCTCTGATAGGTAGAAGCCACCAAGGTTAGGGGCATTTCTTAGTGTCTTAAGTCATTCCACTGCCTACTCTTGGCTTTGAATGCAGACACCCCAGCTCAGGGTGCCCATACCAGGGGCTTACTACTACATGGGCAAAGTTAACCTTCATGTCCTACACTGTTGGAAGAACAGGGAGCTAAGGACATCAGGGTCTTGACGAGGTCAGCCCGCCTTCACATGTCCCTCCTTGTGCCTCCAGGGGCTTGGCACCCGCCTGGGCACGGCGCCTGGCACGGGCGAGTTGGGGCTGGGCCGGGAGGAGTGAAGGAAGGAGGGAGGAAGGGGCGGAGAGAGGGAGTGGTAGCAGGCGGGGGCTCAGGCGGGAGATGAGCTCACGCCGGCCGGGTTGGGCTGGCGGGGGGCCAGCCTGGGCGAGTTCTCGGCGCCAGGGGCCCCGCTCCCCATTCCAGAGGGCGTGAGGAGTGGGAGGCAAGTAAAACCCGACCCCCAGAGAACCGTTCCACCCCCACACTCTGGGATAGCAGGTGGCGCGCCCTCCCGACCTCACCTGAACCCCAGAGTGCTCCCCTTGTCTAGAGGTGGCTGAAGCGCAAGCTCGTCCCTTCTCCCCCAGGGGGCGCCCTTTCCCCAGGCCTCCTATCTGGATATCTGTCGCACGTGGAACCGCAGTAACTCAGGTCTTGCCGGAAAGACACTCTGTCTTTTCTGGGCCCCCTGTCTCTTAGCTGTTCATCACAGACAATCCCATGCTGGACTATTCTCCCCCTCCCAAAGACAGACACAGAAACTTGAGACAAGCAGGGTCCCCCATGCGACCCTGAAACAGTCCCTGCTAACTTACTACGCATAATCTCTGAATTTGGACCCCTTCCCAAAAGTTCCCAGGTCTCTCAATTCTGAGATCCCCGCCTTGACTGAAAGGGATGAAAGCCATTCTCAGTCCGTTCATGGGGGACACCACGGGTCCTCGAAAACACTCATTGCTCCTGAAATCAGAGCCCCAGGGACCCACTCCCCAAACCAGGAATTCAGAGGCCCCATCCTCAAATACCCTCACGCACTCCCCAGCACGTCTGTGCAAGGAATCTGATCTCCTGATCCCAAGGGCATTGTCTCCGGGGGTCCTCCCTCTGGGCACTCCTCCCTCGGGAGCACCACCCGGCACTCACAGGCGCGGAAGCCGGGTCCCCCCGGGGCCGCCCCGCCGGGCGCGCCGCTGTCCACGCTGGTGGTGTTGCGGGGCGCGCAGGTCGGGGTACAGCGGGAGCCGGCGGGCCCATGGATGCACCGCAGGCCGCACACGGCGGGGGTGAAGCGCACGCGGAGACGCTCTCGGGGTCGGCCCAGCGCGGGCTGCGGCCCCAGCTGCGCCAGCAGCACCAATAGCGACACCCAGAGCAGCCGCGCGCCGCCCGCCATGGCTGCAGCGCCGCGCTCCACCGCGCCGCCGCCCCAGCCCGCCCGAGGGGCCCGGCCGCACCCGCCCGCTCGCCCGCCCGCCCGCCCGCCCGCGGGGGAGGGCGGCCGCGCCCCCGCTCAGTCCCCCCCCCCGCTCCCTCCCGGGCGGCCGCGCGGGGGCGCGTGGGGCTGGGCGCTTAGCCAGAGGCGCGAAGGCTGGGCGCTAGATTCGCAGGGGGAAGGGGAGGGCGCCCCCTCTGCTCCCACCCGCGCTCCAACAAGTGGATGGGGCCCGCAGGGGAGTAGCAAGGAAGGGAACAGGTGGGGGCGGGAGGGTTTGCCCTCATATAGAGTTGAATCCATACAGAGGAAATCCATTAAAGCAATGGGGGCCGCGTTTGGGGAGCCAACTAAAGGCTGGTCCTTTGACTAGGCACAGGGAAAAGGGATTTCATCTAGATAGAGGACAAGGATGGCCATGCGGGCAGCGACATGGCACATCTGTGGGTGATGAGAAGGGTTGGTGCACAGGGCACATAAAGGAATTAGAAGAGCTGGACTCTGGAGAGGAGGCTATGAGGGTTACGCCTGAAGATGTTACATCAGGCCAAGACTCTACACCTGGTGGAAGAGGTCGCAATGGATAAAGGCAAGGGATGGGTTCAGACTGTGGGTGGGGGTCCTCACATCTGGTCTGGGGCTCACATCTGGAAAACTTTAGGAAGGAGGGGATGCATCTGGGCTGAAGGCCACACAGCAGGAGGGGGCTTCTGAGGGTGGTTGAGTCTATGGAGTGTTCTAGTCTGGGCTGTAGTAAGAAAAGGGCCAAGGGAGGGCCTGGCATGTAAGAGGGGAAAGGCCTCTCGCCCCCAGCCGTCCCGCAATCTTGGGCATTCTGTGCCCGGGCAGGCGCCAACCCGCACAATCGCTTTTGTTGTCTGGGCTGGTTCAGCCTCGCTTTCTGCTGGGCGACTTGCCCCCCTCTTCAGCCGCAGGAGCCCGGACGCCTGGCTTCCCGGCCCCACCCCTATGGGTCAGCGCCTTTGGCCTGCGTCTAGTTCTGTCCCTGGCTCACCTCGTACTGCCGGACGCAGGGGTCCCTAGAGGTGGCCGCGTCCTGGGGAGTGGGGTGGGCTGAGCTACAAAGGGGGACTGGTTGGCGGCGGCAGCACCGTGGGAACCAGACGGCTTTATCTGGCCCGGAACCACCCCCCTCCACCCGCTTCGCGGAGGAAGGGCGGATGTTCTTACCCCGGGACTGGCCGGCAGGGGCGCGATGTGGGGGCCTCCTTTTCAGCAATGCCCGGGTCCACGGCCCTCGGGGCCGCCTTTGCCTCAGCAGAGCTCGGGCCTCCTGCAAACTGGGTGGAACGGGACGGAAGAGGCTGTCACCACTATTAAACTGGTCCCCTCACCTCAAGGAAAGGGCCCTCCTAAGCCAGAAGCATTTCTAGGGGTGGCTCTGCCCAACACTGTCCCCAGCCCTTTTATGGGGAGCAAGTCTTGGATGTTCTTTAGAGAAATACTTTCAGAGAAAGGACTGTAGGAGAGGAAAAAATAAAAAAGAGGAATGGAGAGAAAGGAGGAGAATTGAGACTTAGAAACGGAAGGGACATCACAGGAACAGAGAGATGAGGTGGATGGAAAGAAGCGGGGGGGGGGGGGGGGGGCTGTGCACAGAGACGGAGCAGACCCAGAGGCAAAGACCCAATGGTGAAGCTAGGCAAGGGAAAGAATACATAGAAACACAGTTACTGAAAGTGAAAGATCAGTGTATGTGTGTTGTGGTGGGCAACTGTAGATGTTCCCGAGGGAAGATCCGGGAGTGGAAGAATCATATGCTTACGTCAGCGGCTGCCAGTTGAGGGACACTTGTCTCTTCTCCGCGGGGCTGGGGCTGGGCACTGGTGGTGTTGGGGTCAGGCACCCCTGGAGACCTGTGCACCTGTCAGGTGGGCAGTTCCGGGCCCTGCAAGAAGCTTCAGAGACAATCAGGGACTCAGTGGAGAATCAGGGAGGCTGAGCCTCTATTGAATGCATCATTTCATCATTTTGGCTGAGGCTGGGGAAGGAGGCCTCTCATCCCCCACCTATCGTATCCCACGTGGAAGAACCCACCTCTAGTGCAGCGGCCCCTCCTAGGTGTCTGGCCGAGGCAGCAGCGGCAGGCAGCAACGCTGTAAAGAGGAAAGTGGAAGCCGTTCAGGCTCCTCGCGCCCCCAAGCAAGAAGGCAGGGGTGGATCACAGAAAAGAAACCCAGATAAGGCTTGAGGGAACTCCAAGTAGATAAGTTACTTAACCTGAGGCTCTTCTCCGCATGCCGTGCCACCAGAGGAGGCAAACTGGCCTAGACTTTCAGGAAAGGCCACAAAAATTTTTACATCTCTGTATCTTATGAAATCCACCACTACCACCATCATCATCAATCATCATTACTCGAGAAAGATTCTCATTATGTAGCTCTGGTTGGCCTCGAACTCAGTATTATCATTATTTTGAGATGGCTCATGCACGGTAGCCCTGGCTGGTCTAGAATGTACTGTGTAGCCCAGGAAGTCCTCAAATTCACGACAATCTTCTGCTTAATCCCCTCTAATGCTAAGGTTACACACGTAAGCCACCACGCCAGACTTAACATGATTTTAAGAAACATTCAAAGGAAATGTCTAAGTGCATCATCTCCAAGCCCTGATTGTCTGGGACTTAGAACTCCGCCCACTGATTCGTCGCGAGTCGGGACTCAGCGGCCATCCTGAGCCTGGCCGATAGGTGGCGCCACATACACAGACCTCGGCGGCTGTGCACCGCGGTGTCTCCTTAGACTGCGGGTCCAGCTCAGTGCTGAGGTGGAAGGGGATACCGAAGTCTAGAATTGGGAATCCTGAGGCCCGACTCCTATCCGGTTCCCGCCTTTTCAGGCTGAACGTCCCGGGAGCAGCGTCTCCTGGCCCTTGGGCTTCAGGGTCTGAGAGGAAAGGGTCTTTCCTGGACATGTCTCGGCTCCACAGGGTCTCAGCGGTCGACCCTTCAGCTATACTGCCAGAATGTCGCAACCCAGCCCCCCCACCCCCGACAAGTCCATTATCCCCAAGTTAAAGGGGGGCGAGGAATGAAGGTGCACGTTCAGGCCCTGAGAGAACAACCCTGAAAGATGCTGAGAAAGGGAATCCAATGCCCAAACCCATTCCAGATGAGTGGGGCTCAGTGGGGTAGGAAGCTGCCCCGGGGGAGCCTCCGGGACCCCCCAATCCGGTCGCCATCCCTCCCGCTTTTCTCCAGGTTAACCCCTTCCCAGTCCCGCCCTCTACGCGGCTCGGGTTACTAAACGCATTCCCAGAGACTGAGGGAGCGGAGCCGCGGCCTTTGTAACGGAGCGCAGGGCTGCCAGGCGCAGGGGCTGCCAGGCGCAGGGCCGGGGTTCTAGGCAGACCGTCTCCTCCGATCCTGTCACCCGCAGACGAGATAGGTGCCTATTACCACCAAGTTAATAAACTATCCTAGATCTCGCCACCAGATCATTCGTAATTCATTCAGTCCGGATGAGCTCTGATCTCAGCAAACCAGAGCATCAGAAAACCCGAGGATCCCCTACATAGGTTCCCCCCAGCCCCCCTGCCAGCGGCCCATTCGCGTCTTCCTAATCCATTAGAAGAATCCAGAAGTCCTTTCCAATTAATCCAGCGCCCCTAAAACCCAGAACACGGCAATTTTTCTTTAAGCTCTCACCACGACCTTCCAGCATCCTATTTTCTTGAGGACTCAAGAAACCTGGGGAGCTCCAGGCTAGTTCAAGGGCCCCACCCATCTCATTCTAAGACAACTCGCAGGCTTACCGAGGTAACGGCTGGGTTTCTCTCCCCCAATAAACTCGAGAATTGGCTGGAGCCTTAACCATCCCACCACCCTGGAGGGATCCCCTTCACGTTCTCAGCACTTCTCTAATTTTAACGCCAGCAAAATAGGGACTCCTAATAGACCGAAGAGCTTTGGCCGTAGCATCCTACCAAAAACATTTGCTTTGTAGTCTCCTAAATCTGAAGGTCTTGCTCCTCCGGGACCACCAGACTTACTGGGTGCAGCATGCACGAGGAGGAAGAGTCTGCAGTGGGCTTACCCAGCCTGGTGGCCCGGGACCACCGTGTCCTCGACGGCCTGGCTAGAGCTGGGGGTAGGGCTGGGGCTGGGGCCGCTAGCAGAGGTGGCGGCTGAGAGCAGCAGCAGCAGGAGGAGGGGGCGGTGGCCACCGAGGCCAGACCGGCGCATCCTGTCGGGTGCAGAGTCCGGCTCCCGGAGGGCAGCGTGTCCAGTGGGTCCGGATCGGCCTGGCCCCAGCCCCGCCCCCTCCCCCGCCCCAGCCGGAGGCCGACTCACTTTCTCCACCGTGCAAGCCTGGGGCTGTGAAACTTCCCGCCAATCAGATCCCTGCGCTGCCAGAGCTCTGAGAGAGGCCAATCGGTTCGCGACAGGGGAGGGGCTACACGGACAGGTGCCGGGCGGGGAGTTCTCCTGGAGGTGGGAGGATTTCAGAAATCAGGTACTGACTGCGGAAGAATCTCTCTTGAGCCGGAGGCCCCAAGGGACAAAAGTGGTTGCCACCGAGATGGATGCGCAGGGCGGTCCAGGTCTTCTAAGCTGGACTTAGGCTAGCAGGCCTCATCCCTCGCTCAGCGCTGGGGGATTCTGTTAGAATGTAGCTGTCTGGCTAACGGAACTGATAGTTCCCCAGGTACCCACCTACCAGGCAAGAGACCAGACTCTGCTGATGCACCAGACGTGGTGGCACTCCCCAGGGTGAGGCAGGGAGATCCTGAGTTCCAGGCCAGCCTGAGCTACATACTGAACCCTTCCTTCCTCCTCGGCCACCCCAAATCTCGAAGAAACAAGAATTTAGTATTGGAGTACCAATCTCACATTCAACCCAGGTGTCCTCTCCGTCACCCACATCAAGCCTTCCAGAAAGATGGCCCTTTCCCAAGGCCCTGTCCGTTGTTCCAGCCTCACCATCTGCAAAGACTTGTCCCTCCCAAGTTTTGCCCTTCTGTGAATCCAGGCTACGCCCTTGACCAGACAGCTCCCTGAGGATTCCCAGCTCTACCACTCCCACACCCCTCTCTGCCTTAGTCCCTAGGAGACAGCAGAACCCCTTCTCTGCCTCACTCCTTAAAGTCTCCCCCAACCACCCTCACCGGCCCAGAACAACAACCTTTGTTTTTGGAGACCTCCAATCCCCTCCTTTCGGGTGAGAAGGAGTTTAGGCTACAGAGATAGTAAACCCACCCACTCACTTTAGTGGGTTCCAGGCTCCAGGCTCCCCTTACAACCTCCAAACTCAGTGGATCTCAAGCCCAGCTTCTCTTCCCTAGGAACGCGAGTTCCAGCCTGGCATGGTAGTGTAAGCTCTGAATGCCGGCACTTGGAGAAGCCCCAGGCCAGTCTGGTGTAATAGCGAATTCAAGCCATCTAGAGCCGCATAGCAAGAGCCTGTTACCAAACAAGCCAACCTCAAGTTCCCACTCTTAGCCTCATGAACCCCTAGAGCTTCAGTCTGCCCCCCAAGTTGCCTCTTTTGCTTGAGCTTCAGGCAGAGAGAAAGGGGGTATGGTTTCCCTTGGAATCCCAAACCCCACTCTTCCTGGGTTGCTCCACTTCTGGGTTTGAAGCCTCATCTCAAAGGTTCCACTGTTTTTCTCCTCCAATTTGCTTGGAATTTGCCTTGGGCTTCTGCTCCCCCTTAACTGACCTCCCATGTTTGAGGATTGCAGGTGTGTGCCTACCATACACCAGCCAGCTTGTGGACTAAATAAAGCATTAGCCCTGCCCCCCCAGGCAAATTGGGGTTCCAGCCACAGAAGGTAATCAGGCCTCAGGCCCTGCTGCACCAGCCTCCTCAGACTGAGAACAGGGAATGTTCCAGATTCATGCCATCCTCTATTCCCATTCCTTCCAATGGAAGGTACACAGGACACACACCTCACCCCTCCCTGCAATGAGCCACACGGGCTGACTCACACAGCCACCTTCTCACCATTACTGCCACCTACAGCAACACATGCCTCCATCCCATGCTAACACCTAGACATCAGAGCCCACCCACTGTCCAGGGGCATCCAGGCCCCAGGAGCAGTAATGTTGGCAGTCAGGACTCATTCACGGCTCTTCGTGGGCTGACCCAGTGCAATGATGGAGTGCCAGCTTTGCCCATTAGCTGTGCTCCATGCTTCTGTCATTGTGTGCCACCCCCAAGTCCCTGCTCACGTGGCCCTCTGGATCACCATGTCCCTCACCTGTCTCTCCCCTCCCCATATCCTACCCTGTGGCTGGAGCATTTGCTGGGGGCGCTGCCGAAATTTCTCCCTTCTGCCCAGGATCCAGGGCATCGTCAATGCTCGTTGCTAGGCAACAGCCTCTGGCTCACCACTGCAACTTCCGGGGATGGCAGGGATGGTACTGGCTTCCCTTCCCCTCCCCCCCTGAATTTGGAGTCTCCAGTTCCCATTTCTTATATTTATATCCTATTTATGTTATTTTTGGGATCCTAGTAGCTTCAGAAACCCTCTAGAGCTCTGGACCATAGCATTCCAGAAGATTCTTCTCATTGTTCTCTCCTTTGTATACTATTTCATTCCTAGTATTGAAAATACACTTCAGTATGACAATATGCTCTGTTTCTTCTAGAATGTGAGCATTCCAGAGATACAAGTTTTCTAGCATGGAAAAAAAAATGGCCTCAGTGTCCTAGACCTCTGTTCATTACAAAGCACCCTCAGATTTTAGATTTTCTGCCATTCTAGTTCCCACATACTCTTTAGAATTCCTACCATTCACATATTCCCCAGAACATAGTGTCCTGGCATGTAAAAAAAAAAAAAATCCTGAGTTTGGGGTCTGTGGGTATTCCAGAACATCCTGGGTTTAGAGTCACCCACCTTTTAATACTCCCATTTGTGTCCTGGATGCTCTGGCAATCCAGAGGACTCTATGCCACTTTGGATTGTTTTTGGAGGGGTGGAGTAAGACAGTGTCTCATGTAACCCAGTCTGGCTTCAAACTCATGTAGTGAAGGATGACCTTGAACTCCTGATCTTCCTGCCTTAGCCTCAGGAGTGCTAGATTCTAGGCATGAGCACTGGGTTGAGCCCTTGACTTCTGCCTAGGTTTTTGTTGTTGTTGTTTTTTTTTTTTTTTTTTTTTTTTTTTTTTTTTTTTTGAGGAGGTCTTATACTATGTGACTTTGGCTGTCCTGAAACTTGCTCTGTAGACCAGGTTAGAAAGGCTTTCTACCTCTTCCCTGCTTCCTTCTGGGATACTTTTCATGCAGTAGGGGACACCAGCCCATGGAATTGTCTTCCCATTTTAATAAACTAATCTAGACCATCCTTTGGAATGCACAGAGGCTGACCTAAGCTAAATAATTCCTCTCAAGTGTGAGGTTTGTCTCCTAAAGGATCCTAGATCCTGTCAAGTTGGCAGTACTAACCATCACAATTGAGATCCTTCTGTCTCAGCCTCTAGAGTGCTGGTGTTACAGGTGTGTGTCACCAGTTAGCTCAACCCTGTGATTTTTTTTTGGGGGGGGGCTACCAGAAGGGACACAAGGATAGTAAGGAGTCTTCTGGAATCACCTTGACTGCAGACAAAAGTATCCCAGAAGGAAACAGGGAAGAGGTAGAAAGCCATTCTAACCCTTTGAGCCCCTGGATCCAGCCTGAAGCCAGAGCGTAAGCCAATACATTCTTGGTTGTTTTTGTTGTTGGTTGTTTGTTTTTGTTTTTCTAGGCAGAGTCTCGCTACATGTCCCTAGCTGTCCTGGAATTCACTATGTAGACCATGCTGGCCTCAAACTCAGAGATCTGCTGTGGAATAATCCTCTGCACACTGTGAAGATGTGTTGCTCTCATTGCTAATAAAGAACTGACTGGCCAATAGTTAGGCGGGATTTTTGGGGCACAGAGAATGCTGGGAAGAAGGAGGATGGAATCAGAGGAGTCAAGAGCCGGAGGTGGAAGAAGCAACATGGGAAATTCATAGATGAGGTAAAGGAGCCTCGGGGCAGCACATAAATTGATAGAAATGGGTTAATTTAAGTTGTAAGAGGTGGCTGGAGGGGCTGGGGATTTAGCTCAGTGGTAGAGTGCTTGCCTAGCAAGCGCAAGGCCCTGGGTTTGGTCCTCAGCTCTGAAAAAAACAAAAAAGAGGTGGCTAGAGACAAGCCTAAGCTATTAACTGAGCTCTTACAGTTAATAATAAGTCTCTGTGTGGTTATTTAGGGAGTGGCTTCCGGGATGGAGCTGCTCGGTGGTCTAGATGGAAAACTCCACCTACAGAGATCCACCGGCCTCTGCCTCTCTAGTGCTGTGATTAAGGGGTGCTCCATCTCACCTGTAGCAATATCTGAGTTTAAAAGCTTAGAACGTAATTGGTCCCTACATCTCCATCTCTTCCTGGGGAGTCCCCTTCCCCAAAAAAAAACCCAAAAATACAAACAATGTTGGCAGTAAGGGTTTTATTAGGAAGGTGACTTTGGCTTTTAGGAAAGGAAGGCTAAGGGACCTCAGTGACTCCAAGGAGGCCCTGGCCCTAAGTCCCCTGGGGCCAGTCCATAGGAAGGCACTGTGGCAGTTACGTTCAAAAGGAAGTTTCATTAAGAGTGTTCTTAGGAGGTGTCAGGGGAGTCCCAAGACCTGTGGAGGGTCGAGGGGCCGGGGTCGGTGGCCGCCGAGGCTCTGGTGCACCCCTCACCAGCTCCTGACACCGGTCCACAAAGCTTCCTGCCCCACGGCGCCGGACCTCTGCCTGCGGTGGGCTGGGGCTCCCTCTATGGCCCGACAGGGAGGTGTTGCTGGAGGCTGAGTGGAGACTGAGAAGGAGGGAAACTCAGTATCCTCCTGTGTCACCATGCTGTTTCCATTGCACAGAGAGGGGGGTGGAGTTACAGCTACCTGGTAAGAGAGGCCCTGGGTGAGGGGCTGGGGAAAGCGCCTCGCGAGGAAGCCAAGGGGGCCAGTTCGCACTGCTCCAGCTGGCCCATTAACTCTTCTTCCGTCAAGCCACCTGCTGGGGTGGCAAAGAAGCAGGGTCAGGGGTAAGATGGGGGCCACAGGCCAAGAGCAACTGGAGGTAGGGGAGAAGAAAGCGGTGTAGAGATGGATGGGCTAGGGGCAGAGGCTAAGAGAGAGAGCGGGAAAGCAACGCCAAGAAAGGACCCAAAGGGAATGGCAGTGGGATCAGAGGGCAGGGGCCTGGGAAGGGAAACCGTGGTGAGGGTGGGTACTGGGACA